CCGAAGGCTTTTGGGGAGAAGCGACTCAATTTCATGCTTTTTTCCTTTAACTGCAATTTTCTTAGGTACTGAAGCTTGGTTTGACACAAAGAAAGGTGAACCCAACTTAATGGCTTTTGTTTTCTATTTTCTTTCTTGATTCAGGATAGAAATGAGCAAAAAGCGTGAGAGCTTCATTTAGGTAGGTTTTTATTGTTTTTTTTTCATTCGTCGAGCTTATACATGAGGTTATAAAGTTTTCACCTGTTGATGTTGCGTAAAATGATTAGTGTTTTGGTTCCTAGGTGAGTTTCTTTCTGTTTCTTTTTTTTCTTTGTTTGAACTCGACTTGTAAACTATAAATGTTTTGGAAGTTGGAACAGTTCAGACGATAGGAACTTTTAAGGCGCTTGTATAAATCGAAACAATAAAAACAAAAGAAACAAGAAGAAGGAATGGAGCTGGCCTCATCCCAACCTAAAAAGAAGTGAAACCTCCTTACCTCATATTCCAGATCCGCTTATGTATAGAAAGTCGTAAGTTATCAGTAGCCATTATTAAGAGAAAAGAAGGTCTCACAAGTTGGATTCCCTTATTTATCAAGCGAGCGGTCCATAATAGCGTTGGGGCGCGCTCTGCCACGTACCGACGATCGCGGCGATCGCCGAGATCGCCGCTGCTGTCGCGAAGTATGAACGCTGCCTAAGATAACTTTCGGGGCGCAAACTGCGGCCCTTATACAGCAGTTGTGATACCAAAACAACTTCAAATCATGTAAAGATTTCAGCCTCGTGGTCTAGACCCGATATCGGCTAACCGTTTCATCACGAGAAACGTGTGAGTTTCGAACTGTTGTTGTTTGATAGCTGCTGTTTAACGCCGCAGTGCCGAAAGTCATCACAAGAATGCTGCGTGGGCAAAAGTCGGACCACAGACGGGATTCAAACCCGCATCTTCTGCTTATCGGGCAGTTGCGCTCTTCAACATGATGAGCCGGTTAGCCGATATCGGCAGTGAACCGCAAGGCTGAAGGCTTTTTACAAGTTTCAAGCTGTTATTGTTTAATAACTGCTGTTTAACGCCCCAGTGCGCGATCCGCCTTCAGCCTTGGTAGTTCGTATGTCGATCTGCTCTTATCAAACCTTCTCGGTTTTGTTCGCTATATCAATGTAGTTCCACCTGTAGGAGGTAGTGATCACTCGGCTGTTGAATTCTCTCTGAATCTCCAAGCTTTGAAGCCCCGTTTAGGCTGGAAACCGGATTTCGGTGCTGCAAACTACGACGGCATTATGGGTTATTTAAGTGGCAGTGAGGCGGAGATGGTGTAGTGACAAGTGGGGCGCTCACCATTCGCGCGGTCCCGGGTTCGAATCCCGGGTCGACTCCCGCCCAGGCCAACCAAGCCTTCTACCCTCCGGGGACGGTGAATTGGTACCAGATTCGTCTGGGAGGATAAAACACTGACTTGTACATCGGCTGGCCACCGCAAGTCATTGTATAGGCCACATCGCATTCAATAAGCCACTACGATTCTGAATGGAAGTAGAATGCGTGCCGCATCCCACAAAGGGATTGATCAACGGCGAAGACTTTATCCTTTTTATCCTTTAAGTGGCATTGATTGGCTGGGTTCCTTCAGTAACGTTTCTCCACTCAATGATATGCACGAAATGTTCCTAGCAATACTTCATGCTATCTTCAAGTTTGTTCCATTAGTTAAAGTAGAG